TGGCTTGGGGATAAAATGTGAACTGGTGTTATCATTGTTCACCATCAATACTAGTTGCCACTGGCGGTACGGATTCCAAAACCGTTTTTGTCATGCAGCCACTGCGGGGTTTGCAGGTAGGTGTTGGTGGTTGCGGTGGCGGTGGCATCAGAAATTCTAAGCCCTACAATCCAAAACCCTAAAACTCTGGGCACCCCTCTGAGCCTTTTGATACCGCAAGGAAACCTCTTGGAGCAGGTGGTAGTTGCAGAAAGAACGGGTGTCAGATGGAGCTGATCGACGTTCCCCGCATGCCCAGTCGTAAACAAGGTCTGCTGTAAGACTTTACCGCCGTTTACGATAGTACCCGTAGCGAGATTCAAACATTGAGGCAGTGTAAGTTTTTTTCTTCAGGTCCGTGTGGACCTTGACTGCATGTTCGGGCGTTCGGCTTTAAGTCCTCGGACAATGTGCCCCTCCCTCCACGACACAGCCAGGCCCAAAAAAGAAATGAGTACACCGCCTGTCGGCAGTTTGGCCGCAAGACTGTGATCGCCTTGACTGCAGGTCCTGCCTCGAGCTGTGGGCTCTCTAGGTCCCGTGAATGAGAGCATCTTCAGCTGTTAACAGCCTGACAGTATTCACACAATCTGCTCTTGCCCTCCAAGTTGCGTCCCGGTGTCTAAAACTCAACCAAACAGGTTCTCTCTGCAACTATCACCTCCTTTCAGGGTTTGGGAGCTGGTCACCGTTACCAGTGCAGAAAGCCTGCTCAAAGCTTGCGTATGAGGTTGCTAGGTACCTTTCGACCGCTACCCATCCTTGCTCCGCTTCTGCAGGAGCCCAGCAGCTAGTCCCACATGCCAGCGCAAAACCAAAAGCACCCACAGATGTAAAAAGATTAAACACGGTGACTTGAGCGCAAGTCTTGCATCCGGCTGAAAATTCAACGCTTAAGCGCAGGTGCTTGTATCTTCCTTTGCAGCGCCGCCGGCTCCTATGTGACTGGCACGGAGTTTGCCCTTGATGGAGGGTCACTGGTATGCCGAGCTCCAAAGAGCAACTACTGAGCCTTCTGCAGTAGCAACTTGGCTGCACAGCATCGAACATGCACAAAAAGGAAGCGGGATGTGAACATGCGACTTCGTTCATATCCGTGTGCTTGCAAACAGTCCTTGTGCATGTTCCCTGTGCGCTGAACACTTAGGTCCTTGTATTCAGATGCTGACCTCGGAGTTTCATGCCGTCGTCCCCTCTCCACGGAGGCCGCCTGCGGATCTGTTTCAGCCAGCACTATAGAATTTCGTCTCAAAGCACTTGAGAGCAGTTCTGGCAGCGCTGCCAGAGACACTGCTTGGTGAGATCTCGCTACGGATTGCCTGCGCAAATCACCAAGTCAAAAGGATTGTGGCATCACCAAGCTGCAAGTAGCGTAAGTGTGCTTTGCTGGGCGTGGGCAATGCCGGAATGCCGCATGCCAAGGTCCAAGCACTGTATGCACAGCAATGGCAACGTCCCCAACACCAACTTGATGATAACCACCTCGCATTGCAACAACCTGGAGATGTTTGAATTGTTGAATGGATTCCAAACTTGTTTCCTCACTGAACCACAGCTCACTATGGCGTACGCATGCCACCTGGCCCGTGAGGCCCCAACTACAGTCAGACCCATCAGACAGCACAAAGCTAAAAGCCTGACCCATGCCTCGCATGCCTCGTGGTTGCGAAGCAAACTGAGGGCCATGGCAAGGGCCTCAGTCAGCCTGTGTGTCGTAGACTGCCACGGGAAGGGAGCCGAAGGGCGATGCTCTGAGGTGCTGCCTGTAGGGGGAATGGGCTCTTCTGCAGCCGGGCCACCCCCACAACAGGCCGACATTCTGTGAATAGGCAATGCAGTGTATGTGACAAGTCATGTTCAGTCGTCCGTGTGGTGGATGAACCGTTCTTCCGTAGTCCCGTACGCCGTGCTGTCGGGCACGCTAACGGGACCCGTAAAACTGCTGGCATCAGTCATGCAGTCATGAAGCTTTGATGCCGCGAGTGAGACTCTGAGAAGGATGAAGTTTCTGAGCGTTTCGCCAGGTTCTGCTGACTCTGCCGTACCTTAAAGCCGCATTAATTGCCGCCTGCGGCCCAGCAAGGGGCAAGATAGATTCGAGGTCCTTGTGCAGTTGTTGGTCCTGCCAATGATGGCACATGCTCGCAAGCGTGTCTGACCTTCTCAGCGAATATTTGATATATGTTTCAGATTCCAAGAACGGCTGGTGCAAAAGTGCACCCAGAACAGGCGGGTGCAAGGATCCAAGATGATTCAAGAACCCTGACGCAGAAGTATCCCGCAATTAACATGACTACGTGAACATAAAACTGAGTCATGACAAATCGTAGCAGGCCTTTCATGTCTTCATGTGCTTCTGGGTCCAGAGGAGGACATGGCCTGATTGCACCATGTTCTTGTTAGGTTCTCAATGTTGTGTAGTGCGAACTGCCATAGCTGGATGCGGCAATGATTCAGAGTCGTATGTACCTGAGCAGCAAAGGTTTCTCTCGTTGTGATCGGGGAGTTTGTCGCCACGTATTTCAACGAGGTTCGCCTAATGTTCACTTCACACATGAAGAACCCCACCGCTCCCCCGAGGATGTCGGCCGAAGCCTCCGTAATAAGGTTCCATCAACACCAGTGCCCACCAGGAGTGCCAGAGGATATCACAAAATCATCCCACGAGCTTTCAGCAAGTATTTCAGCAGGATTGTGCTTACAATTTACGACTTTTACATCCTCGCAGATTTGATTCTGCAAATCAGGGTGGGGGGGTAAATGAGTTATGGGACTTGGATTGTGCACTTACGCTGAGGCTTTTTAATGTGACGTCAACATTGCATGCCACGGCAACTACCAACAGCGGCAGATACGATCTCTTGCTCTTGGCTCATAGGGATCATAGGGCTAGTGTCCAAACTGATTAATTTTCAGCCTCACTGCTGTCAGGCCATATCAGACTGCTTGACGCCGTTGATGGGCATCATAGTGCTCAGAGATGCCGCGGTCTCGGTGCTGCAGTGAAGCTCACTTCACTCAAAAGGGGTGAAACTACAAAGGAGGCCAGCTGGTTTCCTTTTCAGTTCTTTGCCAGTGCAGTGTTGCCGGTTGCTCATCCTAGTAGCATGGTGCTTTGCGTTTCTTTTTTTCTTTTTTTAGCTGTGGCCGTTCGAGATTTTGCGGTTGCGAGCTCAACTGAGAAGGTTGCAGGCAGGCGCATGGCAAAGAGCCAAGGTGACTCAGACGGGTCAATGTGTTCTTTGCCTTGGGCATGGCTGGCCCATTTGGTCGAAAGATGAAGCGAGGGTTTAGAAATGACTTGGAATGCTTAAGGCAAGTCACTTTTCCGTCACAAGGAGTTGGCGGATTTGGCAATTTGCCGTGACAAGGGGTTGGCAGATTTAGCACTTTTCCGTGACAAGGGGTTCGTGGATCTGGCAATTTGCTGTGACAAGGGGTTGGCGGATTGGGCACTTTACCGTGACAAGGGGTTCAGGGATTGGCACTTTCCGTGACAAGGGGTTGGCGGATCTAGCAGTTTAGCCTGACCAAGGGTTGGCGCATATGGCACTTTTCTGTTACAAAAGGCTGGCTGATTCAGCAATTGAACTCACTGAGCGATTTCTCTGCCGCTCTGTTCATGTGATATGCCAGCTTTGGTGGGTGTAATTTGTTTTGTAGTTTGATCTCGGCATCTTGCCAGGTTGATTTCAGGCGCCTTCCCCAGATGCAGTCGTGTCGCAATTTTGCTCTGGAAAGGCCGGAGAGGCTGATGTGGTATGTGCGTGATTAACATTTTCCTGTCTACTTTCTAAAGCCCTTTTGTTTCAATGCGTTCTGTCTGTCCATCTTCTTGGCGTAATTTGCATAACTAGCAATCCTCCCAAATGGGATGCCTCCATTGGTCATATTCAGTCATATTCCACTCTGCTAGCACAAAGTTGGCGAATGCTTTTCAAAATGCAGAAGACAAACATGGCCCAGACCTTCCTCCGACATTACCTTTGATTGACACGCGCGCATTGCACTTTGCAATGCGCAGACCATGAAAACATGTGGCAGCAGAAGGCAGAAGCCCAAGATGTGCGTCGTTCATCACACGCCACAAGGTTTCAACTGCCTGTCTGATCTGACGTCGCGCAAGCCTTGGCTGTCGTTCTCATCCTGGCGCAAGCATTGGAAGTTCATGACTGCTTGGCCTACTGGTGTGACATTCGCAGAGCGCCCCTTGTTCGACTGTCGAAGCCAACAGTAAAGCGGAACTTGGGCCTTATCTCATTGATGATTTTTTTGGCTTCGCTGTGTCAAGCAGAAGGCTTGTGCTGATCCTTGTCGGGCAGCGTTACATCCCCGGCGCGAAGCCAGAATCTTAGCAGTCTTCACGAAATTGCAGTTGCTTTTGGTAGTAGCTCAACGTATCTTGGATCAGATGCAGTGGTTTGAATATGTTCGAATAGTTCTGCGGCACGATCTTCAGAGACATTGCTACCCCATCCAGGTCACAGCCTGCAGACTTCCCCGCTCTGCATTGCAGGTATTTTTTCTCTTCGATTTGTTATGGCGATGCCTGAGCCTCATGACTTAACGCAGGCATGTTCTGAACTAAATTTCAAATCCAAGTGGTAAGCACCCTTCACAGACGCGAGAAGTTGTGACTGCTTGCGCGCCTTAGCAGACTTGCTTTGCAAAGGTTCGCGTATGGGATCCAAGTACACGATCCACAAAGATTGAGAACAGAGAGGCATGCAACGAACATTTGCGGGCACTCAGCAACTTTCCATTGCAGCCAAGGGCTGACAGCGCCCACGTTGCAGGTATGAAACATGTGAAGCACGTTTGTGTGTGCAGTGCAAGCAGCAATGACGACAGTAAGTTTTGGCATGTGCCGGTTGCTCAAAGAGCTGCAGACGAGGATCATGTCTGGCTTTGACCTACTTGCTATGCCAGTTGTGCAGCTGGCGGACAGTCGTTGGCAATACATGCATCGTGTCCGGTCCTGATCTGCAATCGACAATCGAACATACCTCTATTTTCATGAAGGGTACTAGGGCCGCACCACATGTTGCTGAATCGTGTAGTGTTGTCGCTATTCTTTTGTCCTCCTGTTGCTGTTGCAGAGATTCATAGTCCGTTTCTCTCATCTTCTGGAAGCTTGTAGATGAATGAGATATGTGGCTCGGCCTCAGGCTTGGCGTTCTTACCCAGCTGATTTGCTGTAGGCTCAGCCTTGAGCTCAGAGGACCCAGTGTCGTGCAACAAAAGCTGGTGCAGCCCTGTTGTGGCCCCTATGAGTGTCTGAGGCTTGAAAATTTTCCAAGCCTACCAGCAGGAGGGCATGAATGCCATGCATGTGTCTCAGTGTTGGCCACCTGGTCTGCGTTCCTAAGGCCCAAGGGTTATCCCGCTAGAGCTTTCAGTTCTGAACTTTCTGCCCTGACCCTGGACACCCAATATCGCTACCATCACTCCTGCGTCTCGTCTTAGCTTCTCTTACCATTGCTGCACCCCTGCCGCAATGGAAGTGCTGCGCTGGGACATTGGATCCAAATACGTATAATGCCCGCTTGTAAATGAACATTCCAGACTGAAGATATGAGCAGCCACATTTATTTACGTAAGAGAGTAGAAGGCTAGGCGCGTTGGTATTTTTGCATCTGGGTTCAGGCCCTGGATTGAAGGAGATAGGCCACAGTTTCCTTGGCTCTTATTCCAAAATGGCGAACGAGATCAGGTGATTTTCAAGGTACAGTACAAAACCAGATGAGGGGCCGTGGATTAAAAATGCCGCATAGGGCTCAGGTAAGAAATAAAAGCCGAAGCTCATACTGCATCACTTCCAGCAAGACCGGCTCAGGCTCGAAGGCTTCGAACGTCATGAGCTAAGCCTTTTCGTCAATTGTACCGTTTACAGAGGTCACACTGTGTGCATTTGTCTCCAGCCATATGACGAATGCAGGAAGTTGTTTGGAGCACATGTCAGGGGAGGGTTGCCTAAGCCCAGCGGTGCAGCACTTCATGCAGACATATTGCAGAAGACCAGCATCAGACTGGACCTGAGTTTGAAAGCTTGTATACATCAACTGCATCACAAGGCTTGCCCACATAGCCCAGACTGGGCACGATCTGCAAACCCGTATGCCCTGATAAGGTGCCCAAGGACTAGGAACTTCCATTTTGTCAAGCTTGTCGAATCGTTTTTGGAAAGCTGTATCTCGCTCGATAGGTTCAAATCTTTCCTACTCTGACTCCCTCAACCTGTAACGGCATGCACCAGACTTTCAGCCACCAATCAAATTTCGCAAAGACCTTACGGTGCCATCCTGGGAAAGCGTGCAAAGCCTGACGGACGCCATGCACAGCTGTGCCAGGCGACCCTGGAGACGCTCCAAACTCTGGACTTGCGGACTTGCCGCGTCCGGGAGCTGGGGACTTGAAGTTCATACACCAAAACAGGAAGTCATTAACATTCGACGGGGGCTGTGTCCTTAGGTATGAACCTGGCATTTGCAGTAGGATCTCAATAGCCACAGCTGGACACAATTGATATTGCCGCTTTTGGGGTCTGGAGCAGGGGAGCTAGAGGAGCTTGAGACAGAAGTTATCAGAGATTGCAAAGACTTGAGAGCCTAATGTGTAGCCAGGGGAAACTGGCGATGCGATGCTAGACACTACTACGTTGTGGGTTGCAATCCTTTCTTGCCGGTTCACACTCGGGGATGGGACCGGAGGCAAGGACTGCTTGTGCTTGATAGGTTGATGAGCAAACCAGAGGCAGCTTTCGGTTTACTTGAGGCAGCTCCAGAGGGAACGGCTCCTTCAGCGCCAAGAGCCAGCAACAGGCATGTTGCTGATGCTTAGGTTTTGGAGTCGGGTCTTGCATGGGATGACTGGGACTCTACTACGATGATGAAATTCCATAAAAGTGGGCTTTGTTGGGTGTTTAGGGCAAGGCTGCATTCTGTGGCCGGGCAGTGGTGTGCCGGAAGTGACTTCTTCATGAGCACGCTGTGCTCACTGCGCGCCACACATGCTAAGGGCGTGAATTGGTGTGAGGGAAGAAGGGTCAAGGAGAAGCCGGGAGGTTGGGGGCGCAGTGGGAGGGTTACAGATTCTGAGACATGGAGTGAGTGGAGAGCAAACAAGAACTCAGAATTGTAGCCTTGCGAGTTACTATGTTGTGGCACTGCAAGACCGGAAACGTCGAGTCTAGCTGAGCCGGTGCTTCATGCTAGGGGGTTCGTGCCTTTCAGCGGTGAGGGGCAGAGGCTGGGATGATGCCTTGCAGCGGTTCAAAAAGAAGCTCAAACAATGCCTGCTAGCCGATAGATAGGATATGCTAGCCTGCGTCGAAAGTTGCGCCGCACCATCTACAGCAGCATGTCCAAGGGCTTGGTGACCACCACAAAATTTCTTCACTTTTTGAACTGCCATGCCGCAGACATGAGGACATCTGACCTCGAACAGCAGGACGTGCCATTCACAATTCTGGTACCAGAGCGTTTGGCAGAGCTGCTTGGCTCCTGCGCCAGCGTCATGGAGCAACGTAGCTCACGTTTTCTTAGGTGTGGCTCCGAAACTTCGAAGTGTTGTGTAGTGCCTGAAAGCTGCACATGCCAAACGGCAGCATGTTGCTGAGACAGGCTGTCAGATCAGGACATGGCCCCGTAAGCTGATAATCTCAAATTGCCATGGGCTCACCTGGTGGAGGGTCCTTGCGTGAGCAGCTATGCTTGCTTCCCAGCTCCGCAATACATGCATCTCTGCTGGAGCAACAAATGCAATATGGCAAGTTCCAAGCTTTGTTTCAGGTCAGATCGAGCAAAGCCTCGGAGTTTGTCATGTTGCAGAGGTCCAGGCAGCTGCCGTGAAATCAATTGACACAGTGTGTTTCGGGGCAATCTTAAAATCAAGGTAGGCCCCTGCATCAAGCTGCCAGTTGCCAGGCCTGGCCGCGCCCACGAAGGCTGCAAGAGCAGACTGCTAGCCGGCATGGCAGTCACGGAAGTCAGAAATGTTTTGCCATGATTTCTAGTGATCAATGTCATTTCAGATTCTTTCCCATAGCTTCGCAGGCAGCAGATGACATCATCCTTGCAGATGCATATTGATCCCGAATGCCTCACTTTGTTTGTCATCTGCCCATGAATGCAGACCGCCTGCTGTGGTCCGAAGTGGAAGCGCCCTGGCGGGGAGCCAGCGAAGGCCGGAGCTGCCACAAATGTCTGTGAACAAGATGGGCCACTGTCATTAGCGAGAGCGCAGATGCAGGCTCAGCCCGCCCAAGAGAAGCGCAGTTGGGTCTCCAGTACACGGTGCAGGCTAGCCAGCACTTCTTGCAGCTTCCCAAAGTATGCGCAAGCATCCGAGGCGAAAGACCAGCAAGCACTTGCCCGGCCTTGATTCATCAACCTGATCCACCCCAGCAGGTGCAAGATAAGAGGGAAGAACAAAGTGCGCAACGTCTTGCGACATGGCTTTGCCTGGTTCCAACAGGCAATGACAAGCAAGCTGGCATCGGTTCCTCGCGTGCCTGAGCGTGGGGGCCAAGAAGCTCCACATTTTCAAGATGAGAAGGAATCAATTTGTCAAGTTGGGTGTTCAGAGCGTAGCAGCCCTTTAATTGCGGTGTACGTGTCACACATGCGAACATGTGGGGTTGAACATGTTTTCGACGCATGCAGTGTTGCGGCTCGTCGCCTGTAAGCTTCTGCCGTCTGCCGTCCTCCTTCGCTTGCTCTTCGGCATGGCGACGACCCCGACGTCCGCGCTCCTTCTGTCGGCCATGAATGTGGCCAACGTGCTGGCATGGTTGCCGACAGCGGAGCTTCAAGCGGAAGCCGGCAGCTGGTCCGGAACTACAGGCGGCGGTAGCGGCGGCGGCTATGGCGGCGACTGGGCGGCTTCATCGGCAGCCGTGGTTAATATGCCACATAATGACGCGACGATAGTCGCTGGTGTCGTGGCCCCCCGACCTGATCCCACCCCGCCCACCCGCGTGGATGCGGGGACGGGTCCTCGCACATTCTGCGAGATGGCATCGGATATGACGCGCCACTTACAAACCCATCCTGGGGCCTGGGGCGTTGGAGTCCTTGACCTTGAAGCTTAAGACCCAGGCCGCCGGCAGCGTGTTGCCTTCCCTCCAGGGGAGAGAGGTCAAAAATGGATCAAAAACAACAGACATAGATCAAACAACAAGAAAGGATCAACAAATAAACAAAATTCTCTTTGCGTGGCTCTGGGCGCTGGAAATCAGGACCAAGAAAACACCACAATTTGTTTTGGAATAGAATTCGTATAACAAAGGAAGAGGAGAGCGCAACAAAGAAAGCAAAGGACATGGATGAGAAAAGAAGGAAAGAAAGCAACACAATGATGTAAGGTATAGCTGCAACATGCAATTGCGTCTTTGGCGGTAGCTTACTGAAGTTGTTGACCCAGTGGAACAGGGCGCAGGTGCTTTGCCAAAGATTCAACAACAGTTTTGATCTTCGTCCATGTGTTGCAAATCAGGGGGCTGCGCCCCGCCAAATCCCCGCTATTCTGTAATGCAGGCACAACGCTAAAACATTCCATCGAAGGTGCGCTTAAGCGACATGTTTTAATCTTCGTCCATGTTTTGCAAGTAGGGCTGGGCTGAGCCCCCCCGAGCCCCCGCTGTCATGTAAGGACAAGCTTCCATTCACAGCATTCGCATCATTCAATCATTCCTGAATGCCGTCATTTTGATTTTCCGCGTCAAAATTTCCAGATGATCTCAAGTGTTTTGTCGACAATGCCAAATGCTTCATTTACGGAGTTTGCTGCCTGACAAAAAACCCAAATGTTGTAATTTGCTGTGAAAGGCCCCAAATGCTGTAACTTGCGGTATTCGCAGCCTTTCAAGACCTCCAAGCGCTGTAATTTGCACTATTCATAGCATCTCAAAAGTTACATTTTCTGCAGTCTTTCAACAGAGGCAACGCTGCAATTTGGAGTACTCGTAATGTATCAAGAGCGGCAAATGCTGTAATTTACAGTATTCATAGCTTTTCATTTGAAGATGTTCTTAAGCCACATGTTCTGATCTTCGTCCATGTTTTGCAACTCCCCCCGGCTCTCAATTTTTGATTAGATGCCGGTAAAACTAGTCAGCAAAGGCAAGCAGATCACATAAAAAAGGTTGGAGTTCATCCGTGGCCACCAGGAGAATTGCACCCAGTCACACAACAGCCATCCCGGAACTAGAGGGGTGGTGCGTGCCAAGGACCGAGTATCCGTCCTCGGCACGTCAGTCAGAGGAGACTGACCTTGACTGGGTCTCAGCTGCGAGCAGCTCAATTCAGACCTTGTTCACGTGACTTTTTCCCAGGATTGTGATTTAATCCTGAAACTTGACGAAGCAGTCGACAAGATGATTCGAGGCCGTGCCTAGTTCCTAGATTTACGGTCAAAGACATTTAAAGTCGAGCATCCGCACTCGTGAGCAGCCAGGCAGCGTCAGACGTTTGGCTTTTGGCACGGACACGGCCGAACATGGCCTTGCCAGAAGCCAAGATCCTCTAGGATTTGACGTCTGGGATGTTTGTCGGCACTTACATGCGCTATCGGATGCACAGTTGCCTCAAGAGCCGGAGTCGTGTAGAATGCAGTCTTGGGGCGTGGTCGTGACACACAACGATGCGCGAGGTTCTTACAATGCGTTCTGACATCTTGAGCGCATGCAACTGAAGTCCGCACTGGCCCTACCAACTGATGAACATGAATGGAAATGAACATGCATGCGGCGCTCTGGGCTTTGTCGCGTCCAGACATCAGGTGAGCAGCGGCCAAAACCCCCCCTTTGGAATTTTATATAAACATGAAAGTAATGATTGGCCGCGTCAGCTCTTATGGTGTGCGCGATAGTTTGCGTCAGTAAAATATGAACATTCCCACGGCGATAGTCCTTGCGACAGCAGATTGCTCAGCTTTGCATGTTCTTCAAAAACGTCTCCCATTGTGGCCGCGTCAGTGAAATGAGGTTTAATAGCCTGACATAAAGCCGCGATAGTTCGCGTCAG